CTGATCCTTTTTTTTTTTTTTTAACTTCCAGATTTATTTTTCTCTCAAAATTACACATATACTTTAGAACAAATCAGAAAAACAGGAAGGTTGAAATCTTCCACAGGTTTACTGCCACCATTATTGACATGCCTGCACCCAACATACTACCAAAAAATACATTACAATAACAGCACTAATTTGCTTTTTTCCAATCGCGCAGAAGCCCAAAGTACTTTGTGAATATTCATGAGACTTCACAATACTCCCATAAAGCTCGTGTTTCACCCATCTAAGCATAGGTGAACCGAGGCCCAAATCAAGGTCCTAATTCCACAGGCATTTATAGGTGTACTTGCATTTATTCACATGAATAATCCCTTTAACTATAATGGGAACAACTCACATGGGCAAAGCTAAAAACATCCCTAAGCACGGGGATCTACGGGAATTATTCCAAGCTGCGCATTTGAACAGATGCAACAGGAGCGGGTCCCAGAAAACGCGATTCCCGCACCTCCTGTTCTACGCACTAGACAGTTTGCCTGTAGACGGGAGCTAAGGTAGCGTGTTCTTGTTTGAAACCTGGAACACACAACTTAACTAGGGGATTACAACTAACACATAAATCAATACTTTGTTTTATGGGAACGGCATATTAGGACCATGGATATCCTGGGACTGTTTCAGAGATCGCAGTTCAGCATTACCGATGGGCTGTACATAAATGGCACTTTTCTGGGAAGTTGGTGTGCTTCTGTAACGGTCGTGGTAAAACTGCTCGAAGTCCTGCGTGGGCTCTGGATGCGAGGAGATCCAGTCCGACTCCGAATGCAGCGTGATCGGTGCAAAGAGAGCGCTGTGCGGCCGAAACGCCTCATCCAGCAAACGCTTCTCCCCGGGCTCGAGCTTCTCGTACAGCCTCACAAGCTGTGTGTTTTTGGAGATGAGCGCTGCTTTCAGCACCTCCTCCGAATGTTTAATTACCTTCATCTGACCAAAGAGAAAGACCCGAAAGATTTAGCAAACCCAGACTTCATTCCCAGTGCTAAGTTCCCTCTTTCTTTTTGGCCACCACTCCGCAGTCCCAGACTGCTGCTCCTTTCTGATCTTGCTGGTAAGCTGGCATATGCTTTCTACTGCCTGCTTGATAGCTAGCCTGCCAGGGTAGCTGGATTCCTCTTCTCCCTGCAATTTCCATACCCAGCCCCCAACGCATGAGTAGCTTCTGCTTTCAGTGGTGGGGGGGAGAAAGAAGGACCAACATGGGAAGATCCTGCTGCAAAATCCCCAGTTGCAAGCGTAGGTATTACATCATTCTCCTGTTTCAGCCTCCACTTACAGTAGCAAGAGGGATTTTGGTGCATTAGTCTGGCAGCAAGCTCTTTAGACCCAACTCCGATCTCTTTTACGCTGTTTTGTGGCACAGGGGTGTAGCTCCCTTGGCCGACCCCAGCAGCTGGCGATGAGGAGTCAACGCCAGGGAACTGAACGGTTCCTTCCACGATCTTAGGCAAGTCTAATGATAGTTTATGGACTGAAATGTGCTGCAACAACAACAAAAAAAGCCAACTTGTTATGCAGTGGTTGAAGCATTTCTTGGTATAATGTGAGCAGTTGCCAATTTCTTTTTCCCCTCATAAGGTCATTTTTGTAAATCACCCATTTCCTAAGACAGTATCTCAGCATCTCATCGCTTGCCTCTTTCCCCACCTTCATCAGCGATTAGTGCATACGATCGGTGATCAAGATAGCTGTGATAACAGTCACATACACCAGTGTGCATCAGCAAACTGAAAGCAGAAGCACCCATGAGGAATATGATGACATTAATTAAAAGAGGAGATTTTTATGGAGGGCCTTGGCCAGCTAAGCCACAGATTTCTGGATTTAGCAACTTTAACCAGGGAGATTTTTGAGGAAATATAGACAATGTGGGCACGATCCTGGTTGTGGACTGCCCGCAGATACCGCCAGCAGTGTCAGCAGCTGGGGGGGGAGGAAAGGAGCAAGCAGTGACTGCTCACAGGCACTGCCATCAGTGTCAGCAGTGCCTTTTCATAGGGGGTGCACAGTCATGCTCAGGGGGTGCATGTTGCTAATGACTGCAGGCATACTAGCCCCTGCTGAGGCCATCACACCTGCCAGCTTTCAAGGAAATAGGTACAGGGGTTTCTGGGAAACTGCACCTCAAGCAAAACTTGTGACATGTGCGACTGTGCGTTAAAGCGCACCCTCACTGGTGCTGGGGCATCTACACAACATGGTAGTGTGCCCCAGTGAGGCCTCCTCCTCCCCTACAGCCTCATCCCGGTCCACCACTTTAAATGGCAACAGGTAATAACTTAGTAAGCAGCACAGTAGCACCAGTAGCATATCAGGCAGCCAAACAGTCACAGTCAATGTCAGAGAAGTCCTTCCCCCTCTTCCCTCTCCCTCTCCTTACTTTGTTTCCCTGCAGGCAAGCCCAGTTTCAGCTTCAAAACTTGAAACATTTTGAAACATTTCAACTGCCCTCATTTCATTCTGATTTCGCTGTTTTGAGCTCGAAACAATTCAAAACAGAATCAGAATGAAACAGCCAGCGAAATTTTGCACAGCCTTACCAAACCCCACCTGGCTTACTCTAAGCCAGGCCACATCAGTCCCAGGTGAGTTGCCGAAGTCACCTCCATTGCCATAAATGTCCTGGATGCCTGTACGGAAGAGGAGGGCCGCACAAGGGAAGAGGCTGGCAGTCAGGACTCTACGTGTCCGTTTCCAGCTAAGACGGCCTCAGTGATAGACTAGATGTGCTATCAGAGTGCTTGTGTGTGTGGACACCCTTAGGAAGGGCTGCCGGAGCATCCCACGTGGGACAGAGACCTTGCGCAGCATGCAAAACCCAAATTATTTTAGGGAGAGCCAGCCTGGTTGCTTAGGGCACTGTATTTGTCCTGATTAAACACAAGAGATTTTTTTTTTTTTTTTTAAT